GTGTGTGTGTGTGTGTGTGTGCAGGTGCACAGCACACCAAAGGAGACATTCTTCTAATCCCAGGCATGGTTGGCGTTTTGGCAAAGCAGGAGGTAGAGGATGACATTGCTGCATGTGGAAGCGCGGAGGAGAAAGCTTGCAGGAAGCAGTTTCTTCCGAGTCCATTATCTGCCTTGAAAGATCTCTGTAGAGGAGGAGGTGTGGTGGGGGAGCTGTATGGGGGAGGCTGCCCCAACAAGCCAGCATCCTTACCATGATTGGAAATGGGGATTCTCTTTCAAGAAGGGCCAACATCCCTCATGCAGGATAGGGGAGTGCTGCTCCCCTGCCACCCCCTCCTCCTCTCCAGAGATATGTCAAGGCAGAAGTTGGTCTCAGAGGAAACTGTTTCCTGCAAACTTTCTCCTCTGCACTTTCACACACAGCAGCGTCCCCCGTCTCCTGCTTTGAAGGGAGGGTGCAACAGACAGGGAAACATGAACAATGTATGGGATTGGGAGAAGAATATCTCCTTTGGTGTGCTATGTGCATGCACACTTATACACCATTCCAAGCTTGGAGACTATTATCCGCATCTGAGGTAGCAAGCTGCCAATCATGCCTAGGCTTGAGGAGAAGGTCTCCCTTTCTATGAATACAAGTCCCCGAGCTTGGAATGCAGTGTGTGTGTGCACATGTGCATATGCTTGTCTTACCAGCAGTTTGTGGAGGCAAGGAGCTTGTGAGACACCAAGTTGTCTCCACATCAAGTTAGCCAGTATAACTTATTCCATCCTGACCCAGCCGTCCCAAAATAGATTTGAATCCAAAATAGATTTGAATCAGCCATGCCCAGTGAGTGGCATTGAGCTGGCCACATCGAGTCAGCTATACCCACTCAGCCATGTGCACCTAATCATGGGGACCCAGCTGCGACCATCCAGCCATGCCTACACAGCCACGTCCACCTGGCTTCTGTGAATCATCATAGTCTTACATGCAATTGGCCCTTTGAGGGCAGCCATAATGCTGATGTGGCCCTCAATGAAATTGAGTTTGACACTCCTAGTCTAATGGATTCAGTAGTGAACTTGAACATAGCTAAAATTATTTGAAATATGTTTGTTACGTGTTTTGAGTTGATTGTTACTTTACAGATTCCAAAATCAGTTACAAAGTACAATATAATATAAAAATTACTGTGTGTTCCCTGAAAACATGCCCTACCCCAAAAATAAGCCTTAGTGAAGGGGGTGGGCATGGCCAGCACAGGAGGCAGCCCTTCTCCTTCCCAGTCACCATATGGCTGCTCGACCTCTTAATCAGGCCCACAGATCAGCTGAGGCAGCGAGGGCCGGGGGCTGCCTCTCGTTCCTTCTCTCCAGATATAGACTGTTCCTTTCAAGCAATCAAACGTCGCTTGAGGAAAGGACACATTTCCCAGGATTGTAACACTGAAGGTTCAGGATGGAGCCTTTTTGGGATGTCCATCTGTGCTGAGCTTGAGGAAAGGATGACTGACAGAAAAATCCTTGTCCCCATTTTCCTGCAGTTTGTCAAAAAGGTTCCATTCCGAGGCTTCAGTGTATCCCAGGACCCTGCAAGGCTTGCTATAGCATTACATATGCAAGCAGTGGCATCATCATGAGGTTTGTCACATCGGCACAACCTCTTGGAACAGGACCCTGTAAGGTTTGTTGTGGTGTTGTGTATGCAAGCAGAGGCAGCACCGTGAGGTTCAACATATCAGCGCAGCCATTCACGGCAGAATGTCAGCTGTGCCACAACAAGCCTTGCAGGGTCCTGCTCTTAGACTGTGCCAGTATGTCAAAGTTCATGGTGGTGCCACTGCTCCTGCATACAGCTGCTCGCATTGCAAACAGCCCGGGGATTTGGACAGCCTTTACTGGCTGGGATGCCTTCAGGATCCCTGGCTTCCAAGTCCGGCAAGGCCCAGCGTTTGGACTCTGGTGTGCTCTTCTCCTCCTGAGAAGCAGCAGTGCATCCATGGCACATCTGGATCACCAAGTCTGGCCTGCTGATCTTGGCCGGCAGTGGCTCTGACCTGATCTTGGCCGCCAACGCTCTGAAGGGGGATCGTGCCCAGCTGGCTTCACACAGGAGATGTGCTATGAGGGAGCCCATTTCTTGCGTTGGCCAAGCGGGGGTTGCCCACGCAGAGGCCGGGCCTTGGGGCACCACTTTTGCCCTTTGCTGTTTCTCATCAAATCTATGTGTGAGACAGAGAGAGAGAGAGAGAAACAGTGGAGAGGAAATCCTTTCAAACAGCGTTGCCTTCAATTCTTGTTATTCCCCTCTGTCCTTTCTCTTTCCCTCTCCCACCCCCGATTTGATTGTTTGAAAGGGACAGGTTGCGGTTTGCTTCTACCATAAGCACACGCTTCCTACAATATTCCAGAATTCTCCTTTTCTTAAGCAGCAGCAGCAACTGGGTAGAGGCGGAGGGAGGAGCCGATTCCGACGGGCCAGATGTCTTTCTGTCTCACTGGCTCAGCTGATCCATGGGCCACGTTAAGGGCAGTCATGAGGTGACCGCCCTTCCCGCCTCCTGCACCTCAAAAAAAATAAGGCCTCCCCGAATATAAGCCTGTGCTTATTTTCAAGCCTAAAAGAAAATAAGACCCAGTCTTATTTTGGGGGAAGCAGTATTTTTTTCAAGTAAACATTTTGCAATTTGGATTTTATTGTCAACTTGCCTTCATTATCTCTAATGTCTTTCAATATGGTACATTTGAGAACAGTTCTTGAAAAACAGCAAGCTATACTTGTGTATTCAGGAAATAAAATAGGATAGGCCTACATAAAATTAGTTATTTATTTACAATTATTGCACTTTCTAGATTAAATAGCGTAGCAGAAAATGTTTGATCTTTTCTATAATACTTTAGAAGAGCAGTGGCTGAAATTGGTTTTTCCTTTTTAAATCAAGGTCACAATTGCTTTCGCTTACACCTTTCAATACATTCAGGATCTCCATTAGCTTGACCTGGTCTTGTTTAAATGTCATAAAGGATAACTAGATGACTATTCACCATACCACTTACTTTTCTTTTTCAGACAGAGTTATGACATAAGTATTGTTGCTCAAGTGGATCAAACAGGCTCTAAATCCAGCAACCTTCTTGACCTGAAAAATCCCTTTTTCAGGTATCACACTGATTTCTTATATGTATCTTTTCCACTCTGTGAAAGTGAGAGAGTATAGGTCTGTGGTCTGAAAATAGTGTATCTGAAAGAAGAGATTAATATATTATCAAGCAGAAAGAACCAAAATACAAATTTTAGCTATATATCCAACAAATATATTTAAAATCTGTAATTAAAAAAACTTTTATGTTGTTCTTAGCCAAAAGGCATAGAAGCAATTAAAAGCTCTGGTTTAAGGTAAGACTATTGATTTTATTCTAATGTTTTACTTACGCTTCAAAACCTTGGAAACTGGACTTTAAGATCAGAGTCGGTTCAGTTTTATATGCTATAAGGGATTAATAAAATACAGTTTACATTAATACTGTCAACTATCCCACTGGATAAGGCAGCAAAAGAAACTTCTGGGACATTTTTTACCAACAGTATAACATTACTGAAAATTCCATGTGGGTACAGAAATAGAAAAGCCAGTTCTAACTATTCAGCACATAAACAGTATAGGAAACCTTTCACTTTCCCCCACTAGTCCTCCAATGTCCATTTTTCACCAATCATTTGCACTCACTTTGTTTTGGGAATGGTCTGTCTGCCTCAGACATTCCCAGCCAGTGATCTTGTGTTGATTGAGTCTGTTTCAGGTGTTCAGTTTTGCACACTTGAATTCCAGATTTCCCTCGCAGGCATCCTTTACATTCCAGTGGCTTCTCTCCCTCCTCCCGTTACTATCGTCTGGTTGCAAGCGAGGATGCATAGCGAGTCAATCATGACATGCTGACCCTTCACAAAGAAGATTAATCCTACAAAGAAACAAAAACACATGTATTATTATACCATGATCTCTTTGCACTAATTAACCTATCGGAGTTGGTCCAGGTACTTAGCATGGAACCTCAGGATGAGTCTAGAGCAGGGGTGTCAAATTGGTGGCCCACGGGCTGGATGCGTCATGTACAGGGCACCCCAGCTCTGTGAATGGGAGAAACATCACAAAAGTCACGTGATGGCAGCATGTTGTGGCAAGTTTGACACCCGTGATCTGGAGGCTCAATGAACAGCTTCAGCTGTGAGCTACAAAAGGGCCTTAACAAAGTACAGTGAAACACTGGGTGTTTCACTGTACGTGTAAGTTCATAGCTGCAACACTCCTTTTGCATTCTTCTGGAGCAGCAGCACCATCATGGCCACATCACGTGTCTACTTGTATCACAAAGGGCTCATGTGGGTCAGTGTGCTTTAGAACTGACTCAGTGGCGAAAAGATGCTTTAGTTTCTCAAATGTGAGTTGGCACTTGTGTGACCAGTTCGCGGGTTAACTGGGCTTGGCTTCCTCTTTCATCTTCAGTAAATTCATGATTAGTAGAGCTATTTGAATGAATGTGGGGATGGTTTGGAGATAGAAGTTTGTAAAGCCAGCAGTTGTCTCCTCATTCACAGGGGCTCCCACTGTAATATCACCCAGACCTTCCCAGGATCCAACTCTATGCCATCTTTATACAAGTGCTCATGCAGGATGTCATTTATCAGCTGCATGAACACTACTGGGGGGCCCTGTAGTCCAAACAACATCAGGAACTGGTGGCAGTTAAATGTCATTCATCCCCTTCCTTAATTCTCACTCAATAATATGCCTCCCTCAAATCCAGCTTCGTGAAGATCCTTCCCTTTGCAAGCTGCCCCAACATGTCCATCAACAGGAAGGGGTACATATTTTCTGTACATACCCAATTTAGCTCCCTATAGTCAATGAACAGCCTAAGGGACCCATTTTTCTTTTCTTTAAAAAGCACTGGGGCTGCCATCCTCGGCATGCCCAGCTGAATGAAACCTTTGGCTAAATTTTGGTCTATGAAGGTACGAAGCTCCTCCATCCCCTTAAGTGTCATCGACTATAGCTTTGACTTCGATAACTTGGCCCCAGGCATAATCTCAATTGCACAGTCTGTGGGGCAGTGGGGTGGAAGTGTGTTGGGCACTTTCTCGCTAAAGATTTCAGCCAGATTGCCATACTCTTTACGAATCAGCAGCTCTAAGCTATCTCCTCCCTCTAGTTTATTGGCAGTTTCTGCTTTCTCTTTCTTTTTTCGCAGGCATGTAGCAGCTTCTTTGCACTTCCACTAATTCTCACGGGTTGGATATTTTCCTTTGCATCCGCCATTTGTTTCTATCTCAGTCAACAGGTGGGCTCCATTTTTCCCCCCATGCCATGCCTAGGACTATGGCCTCTGTTATTCCGGGGCGATGATAAATGGAATAATCTCTGTGTGGGTCTTGTTTTCAATTTCACAGGCTCATTTAGGCTGGCACCCCACCCCCTTCTTTAGCTTCTTTAGCTTCCTCAGCTTTATCTTTAGCTTCCTTAGCTTCTCTATGACTTGCGGGCTGATCAGAGACCCAACAGGATCAAGTCCAACAGAAACATTAGGACCCCCTTTAACCCCAAGGAGGAAATTGAAATCTCCACCCTCGCAGTCATAGGGATGATGGGGCCACTTACCAATGAGTCGTCTTTTCGTTCACTCTTGCTTTCATAGAAGACTGGTCCCATCTTGGGAGGGATCGGAGTTTCCTTTCCCTTGCTGGATGGAGGGAAGATTGCACGGCACCACCACCCCTCCCAGGGTAGGCACTTCTGATAAAGTTCCTTGTTCAGTCCCTCTTGGAAATGGTAGACCATCAAGTATTCAGACTAATCTCCCAAGTGGCTGTCAAGGCAGCAGAAATCTTGAATGTACTCTGTTACCAGTTATTTCCCCTGTTTCAGGGCATGGATATGGGCTTTAGTGCCAGGCCACCATTGGGTTTTTGAACCTTTCTCACAGGGCTTGCATGAAGATGTCAAGGTCATCCAGGTCAGGAGTATTTTCACCATGCAGCAACACCAGCCACTCTGAAGTGCTGTCTTCCAGATTGACTGGATCCAGGCCATATCATCTGGGTACACTGCTTCATAATGCTCCGCGTGGTATCAGGGTTGAGCCAGGAAATGGGCTAGGTGGCCTGGGCGCCCATTGAAACAGGCCACTGGGGGAGTGGCATTCCATTCATACCAGGACAAATCCCTGGGGCGGAATTCTAGTTGTCGCCACCGGTGCTGCTGGCTGCAACAGAGGAGGAGTGGCGAAGACCGTCACCACTTGTGCCAGGGTCCAGCTGTAACTGGAGCTGCCGGCTGAAGAATAGCGGGAGTAACCAGCACAACCAGGGGTTTCACAACTCCTGGCCTGATGATGGTGGTGGTGGCTCCTGGTGTTGTCATAGCATGAATCTCTATCTCTATGAACTTCTCCTCATCTGTTCCATGGACAGGCTGCAGCTGGTGATTGGGAGCTTCCACTCAGTAGGGTTGTCCCATTCAGCTAGCAACTTCACTTTCCACTTGGCTACCTCAGACCACATTGATTTGAGAAGGGGGTCTTCAGCTCGGCTATCTTGCCCATGTTTGCCTATTTTTGCCCAATGGGTCTTCAGCCCCTAGTATGGGGCATCCCTCACTCGCTCCTTTGTAACTGCAGTCGATTGCTAGGACTTTTCAGTCTTTGGTTTCAAATTTCCCTCCCAGGCCTCTCTTACATTCCAATGCCTTCCCTCTCCTCTCCTATTACTGTTGTCTAGTTGCAAGAAGAACTGCATAGCGAGTCAACCATGACAAATACATTACATAACTTCAAGTCAGTTGTGGGCTAAGTTAGTCCTGAGTAACATTGAAGAGGTTGAGCTTCTTCAGGCAGATAAAGATCAGCTCTTAATCAGAGCTGAATTAGATAAAGATGCAATAGAGTGGATCAACTCCAGCCTCTTTTGAATTGCACAAAATTCAAAGGTCTTAAACTGCTTAAACTCATGCTGGCAGGAGCATGTAACAGACAAAGGGAAATGTAGAAGTTGCAATTAGAGTTATAGAACATAGAATAACAAGTTTGGAAGGGACTTTGAGGCCTTGTAGCCCATCCTGCTGCCCAACCAGACCTTGTACTATTCAAGACATGGTTGTCCAATCTCTTCTTGAAAACCTCCAGTGATGGAACACCCATAATTTTTGGAGGCAAGGCCATTCCACTGATTAATTGTTCTCACAGTTAGGAAATTTCTCCTTGGTTCTAGGTGGGATCTCTCTTTAGTAAGTTTCCACCTGTTATTACTTGTCTTGCCCTCAAGTTCTTTGTAGAATAGGTTGACACTCTCTTTATGATAGACCCTCAAGTACTGGAAGACCAATATCAAGAGCTAGTTTGATCTAGTGGTTAGCACAGACTGGAAAGCAAGAGACTGACTTCTAGTTCCACCTTAGCCATGAAAGCCAGCTGGGTGATCTTTGTCCAGTTACTCTCTTAATCCAACTCATCTCACAGGGTTGTTGTTGTGGGGAAAATAGGAGGAATAAGATGTGTTGGATATGTTCACTGCCTTGAGTTATTTGTATATATAATAAAGATGGGATAGAAATAAATAAATAAACCATGTCACCCCCTAGTCCTTCTGTTTGTTAAATTAGACATAACCTAGTTCTCTCAAGTATTCATAATATAGTTTAGCCTCTAGTTGCCCCATAATAATATTTGTTCTTTTCTGTACTCTTTCAAGGATCTCAGCATCTTCTTTGTATCATGGTGACCAAAACTGGATGCAATATTCCATGTGTGGTCTCACTGGTCCAATTTAAAGAGGCACTTTCACTTCACATGATATTGATGCAGCCTAAGACCTCATTGGGTTGTTGTTGTTGTTTTGGGCAGCTGCAGCACACTGCTGGCTCATATTTAAGTGATAGCCCACTAGGACATCTAAATCACTTTCACAATGATTACTGTGCCTAAGTGTAAGAACTTAGAAAAAAAAACAGGAAATCCAAACAGAAATCAGAATAATTGCACAAGGATCTCACTGATAAACTGAAAGACAAAAATGATAAATACAAAAAAATGGAAAGAGGAGCACATAACTAAGACAGAATATCAACAAATAGACTAAATTTGCAAAGACGAAGTCAGGAAAGCAAA